AAGGCCATTAGCAGGGGGGACGAAAATTAACGTAGTGGAGAATTTTTTATTCATTATGCTAATTAATCATTCTAATTTGCCAATCTCTCTAGAACAAAGAGCATCCTTCATTTGACTATCTATGAGTTGTAAATTTCTAAATTTGGAGCCGATCGCATTATTTGTTCCCAAACATATTAATTTTTCTTAATTAGAGAAATTGAGCCCAAAAAAATGCACAAAAAATCGGTAAATCTGGAACTTACCGGCCGATTTCTTTGAAATTTTGAATTTTAAAACCCGCCAGGGGATAAAACGACTGATGGAATTGATTCCGCACTGATTTGCGAATTAGGAGCCTAATTAACGGGGTAATTAAAAACGCCCTAATACTGCTTTTTCTTTCCTTCCGATATCTTTGTGGACAGGCTGAGATTCGAAGGCGACGGGTTTTGAGGGGTTGCAGCTGTATCCGTTTTCCAGTTGGAATCGTCAAGGCCATTAGCGGGGGACGAAATTAACGTAGTGGAGAATTTTTATTCATTATGCTAATTAATCTTCTAATTTGCCAATCTCTCTGGAATAAAGACCAAACCTCTTTTCAAAATTTGGCAATTATAAGATTGTAAATTGTGAGCCGATCGGACTGTCGGTTGCTGAGATACGTGTTTTTTGTGCATTTTTCTTAATTAGAGAAATTCAGCCGGAAAAATGCACAAAAATATGTAACTCTTGAAAGAATTAACCGAATTCGTTCAAATTTTGAATTTTGCACTTCCCGGATGCTCAAATAAAGGTTAGTGTTCGTTGTAAACTGTTTTGCTAATTAGGATCCTAATTAGAAGATTCATTAAAAAAGCGCTACTACCTTATCTCCCCTTGCTAACTCTTGGTTGACGGCCTTCGATTCGAAAGCGACGGGTGTCGGAGAGGGGGAGATGGTTTCCGCACGACTTTTGGAATCGTCAAGGCCATTCCCCAGGGATGAAATTAAAGTAGTGGAGGATTTTTATTCATTATGGCTAATTAATCTTCTAATTTGCCAATCTGTCTGGAACAAAGACCAAACCTCTTTTCAAAATTTGGCAATTATAAGATTGTAAATTGCGAGCCGATCGGACTGTCGGTTGCCGAGATACGTATTTTTTGTGCATTTTTCGAATAATTCGTGATTTTTGGATCTGAATAAGAAAAGCAACTTTGAGTAATACAAATTAATATGTCTAACAGCTTAAATCAGTGTGCTCATTTGTGTTACTGAGCTACGTAATCATTCACTGCTTTTGTTATTATATATAAATGCATTAATATAATGTCTCTGTTCGCATAAAGCTAATATTAAATTAAATTTTAATTAAGACATTTTAATTGCAAAAAATAATAATTAAACTATTTATTTAAATTCTGATTAAATTTTTTTTCGTTCAGGGTTTTAAATTGAATTTCTGTTGCTCGGATATGGTATATAGAAAGTTTTCTTATTATAAATAATTATGATTGATTACTTACATTAATATATATATTGATGCACCTTTGTGTGCGATTATGTTAAAGTTTATCAAAAGGAATTTTAATAACGAATCTACTGTTTGAATATAATACCCGAAAATTTTTGCGATTACACTTGGCAAAAAGCCTGAGCTGTAAAATCGCTGAACACTGGTAATTCAGTCCAATTTTCGAATCTCGGCGAACGGGCTGGCTCCATAGGTGCTTTCGTAATCTTCCGTATGTGTAACGTGTATGCAGTATATTGTGGATGCAAACGTAAATAAAGCGGGCGCAGCCCGCGCAAACTGCTAAACACTGGTAGTTCGGTCCAGCTTTCGAATAAAGGCGATCGGGCTGGCTGCATGGGTGTTTTTGTGATTTATCATGTATGCAGCATTTTCTGGACGTATACGCGAATAATGGGTGTTTTCGTGAATTTACACATGTGTATCCTGTATGCAGAATCTTCTGGAAGCCTACGTGAATAAAGCGGGCGCAGCCCGAGCAAAAGCGCTGAACTCTGGTAGTTCGGTCTAACTTTCGAATACCCGCGAAAGGGCTGGCTGCATGGGTGTTTTGTGATTTTAGGCATGTGTATTGTGTATGCAGTATCTAATAGACGGATACGTAAATAAAGCGGGCGCAGCGAAGTGAACCGCTGGAAATTTGAAATTGGTATTGCTAGTAAAAGAATATATCCCGGAGAAAATATTTACAAATTTACATAATTACAAATCCATAAATTTAGAAGTTACATATCCATTTCTCTTCAGCTTTCGATAAAGGGCGTAATATAATGACGCCTAATATATTGCTAGTAATTAATGCCAAGTTTTTAAAACAGCAATTAATGAAATTTCTAGGTATTTCATTATTTTGTAGTGTGCATCTAAGGAGTAAAATTTCTCTTGTAGGTCAGAAACTTGTGCACAAGTATTCTTAATTCCGATAGCTTGATTAAGAAGAAAATTACCTATTACTCTTTCAGAAATATTAGAATGCAAGTTGGTTAATTGATTATTGTTAAAATTAAAGTTTCCTTTTATCAAAAAGCTGAATTTTCTTTTAATTATGTATCTAATATAAATTTGGGAAGTCAGTATTTCACTTTCACATACTTATTAATATTATTTGTTTGCAGCTGGATAATCTCGAATTTTTAAGAATGATCTAAAATAAATATTTTTTTAAACTGATGTCCTGGGAAGTAGTGATTTATTTTCTTAATTTATGCATATTATATTTAATAACTATAAATATGGAAATCCTTTTACTGATTTCACTGCGCTTGCGTGATATCCAAATTTTAACTTGTTCAGGTTTTTATGGGTCACATGATTTCAATCACACCTTAACTACCCTTTCCTATGAGACTTTTGTCACAGTTTGATTTTTTAGATCAGGGATCGGAAAAGTAAGCCTCATACGCCATTTACGGCAGTTGGCTTAAGATTTTTTTTTACATGAAAAAAAAAATTAATCAGATTAAACATGATTTACAGAGATTTTTAATTAGAACCCAACTGCCTGTAATCGAATTGAGAAGTAGTGAATAATGACCGCACATGAGGGTTATTGGCGTCACATATTCGCATTTTACCTGCCGTTACCGTAGAGAAAGCATTGCTAGTTCTCACAATTTTGATTTAACGGTGCACGTGATATACATTGTCTGTCATCTCAATCAGTTCTTTGCGATAATTCCTTCTTTTCATTTCATTTATCAACACCATTACAAGGTCACTTCAGAACCAGATAAGAAGAGCAATATGGACTTCGAATGTTGTACTTTGAAAGCAGAATCGAGTTTAAATTATTTTTTCATAGAATTAATTGACAAAGTATTACTATAATTAAGACACAATAACACGCCGAATAAATACTAATTCAGAAGTCAAACAACAAAAATCAGCGTTATATTTACAAAATTTTCACAGGACTAGTTTCGGACAGGGACTCATTTGCGGTTTTGCAGCTGAAGATGATGGTTCGGTTAAACCATCGAAACTAGTCCTGTGAAAATTTTGTAAATATAACGCTGATTTTTGTTGTTTGACTTCTGAAAAAGTATTACTATATTTATGAAGTAAAAGCACGATATCTCTAAGAAATGAGCATAATTTACCTCACGCAATACAATGTTAAAAACTTGCAGAAATTAAACAATCGCTTCAAGTATAAAATGTTAACAAAATAATAACTAAAGTCCGCTTATTAACAACTAAAGCCAGCTTATTAGCTCATTTATTGCCTTCGAAAGGGAAACCATTTTCCGATGATGATTTAATTACATCATATTGGGTTGTTTGGAAAGTAATTTCATTTTTTCCCAACAGAGGGCTTAATTGTATTTTTCAGAGCCAACTTCATATATAAGCCTATTAGTCATTACATATTTTGATAGCTGATATAGCAAGGCTTGTTTGGTGAAAAAGTTCGATTGATTCCACGCACTAGTTTATGGTTGGTGCCCTTTCAAATATGAATACTGAAAAGCAGCATTTACAGCATATTTTATTTTTATACCTATAGGTAAAAATACTCTTCAATGGGGGAGGGGAATAACCGATATGCCTGGAGAAGATGTATTAAAAGAACGCCAGTGCCAAAACTGGTTTGCAAAATTTCGATCCGGCAGTTTAGACCTTGAAGATAAGCCACGTTCTGGAAGATCAGTTGAAGGTAACGGAGAGCCCGTATGTCGAGCATAAGGAACCCGTATGTCGAGCTTTGAGATTAAACCTAATCATTTGAAATGATCATGAACGTAGAATTCGATAAATTTAACCTCTCAGGGATCTCACGAGTGGTTATTCGCCGGTTTGCATCAATTAATGCCTTTATTATGTCTTCATTAGCTTCAACTGGCTTTCCAGAACATGGTGCATCTTCATGATCAAAATTGCCGGATCGAAATTTTGCAAACTAGTTTCAGCATTGGCGTTCTGTGAATACATCTGCTTCATACACGTCGGATAAAATTTTTCCTGCTTGAACATTATTTTTACCGTTTCGATAGTAAAAAAGTAAAATGGGTCCAAAATACTGCTTTTTCAGTTTTCATATTTGAAAGGGCACCAACCAAACACAAATGTTAGTACAAAATCTAATTTCTTCTATATTTGTTGTTGTTTATCGAGTTTAAAATACTTACTATCTGCCCTTCCCAAAAAAATGCTTGCCGACCCCTGCTTTAGAACTAAATCTCAGCCTTATAACCCAACTTCCTACTCATAACTTATTCAGATTCACCTGCTAATAGATGCTCGTAAAAGAAAAAAAAAACTCTTAGAAAAAAGTAATACAATTATGAATTCATTTTGAATGCTAATGAGTAGACTATCGCAAACGATCTCTTGACTCAAAGCTGCAACATCACCCACATTTTATGTACCATTGAAAACTTGCGTTTTATATCGTTAGGTTTAGAGTGTCTAAAACACAAATTATGTCCCTAAGATTTCAACTCAAATCTTACTAGCATTTTTTTAATTTGCCAGTGTTACATACTTTAATGCTTTTCTCTTTAGGATGTGAGTGTGAAAATGGTGAATGTGTTAAGGAATTTTCAGAAGAAGTCTGCCGTTGTCCAACGGAAGCTGTTAAAGTTAGTGACACAAGATGCAGAAGTACGTATAAATATTTTACTAACGATCTGAAATCACTCTGACATTTCAAAATCTCTCTAACCGTCTTTACTGTGTAATTCTGTGTAATTTTGTGATGTTAGTTTATCTAAACTGGTTTCTAAAGATGGTACATAAATGTCATATGAAGTTATGCTTTGTAAAATTGTGAAATTTAATCACATTCATGTTTCATTATAGGTTTCCTTTTTGTTTCAAAACGTAATGAAAATTGATAAGACTTCACTGACAAGGTTCTGATTATAATTCATTTCTAAGTATATTCTATATTAAATATAAAATTTGTTAATCCGTAGTTAAAACTGTATCAAGACGGTAACCTAAATAAAGAAATTTATAATGTTTTCTAAAAGCAAAATATAAAACGCTTTTAGCTGCAATTATAATTAGCAGTGATTTTTCTCATTTATACTGTTGGCAGCTATGGATTCGTGAACGTCTCTTCAATAGCTATTCCATATGTTGCTAACTAGGTGACAAAATTGTCTCCAAGGGCCATCATAATGGTGTCTGCCTATGTATCAGCTTCAAACTGAGCTAGTTTCACAATTTAAACAATTTTAAAATTATTCAATTCAAAATCACATTGTCTGTAGTTCTGCACAAGAACTAAAAGCCTACAAATACAATTTTACAAAACTACGGTGTAAAGTATTAAATACAATGCAGCAATGAAATAAAAAACTTAATAAAACACTACAGAACATTATAACAATACACAAAATACAGTAATAGAGTCTCTAGTATTTACAGAAACTGACAACATAGCCCCCACCTTAAGGTTCTTGTGTTGCTGTATTGTTAATTTTATATATAACGAACTGCAAGTCAGTATGTTAATGTTGTCAGAGAACTTCACGTCAGAGACACTGCAGTCTCCAACAGAAGTTACAATTTCTTCTCATTACCATTTAAGACGTACACTTATCGTAAGGTACTACTTACGATAGGTTTGAACTAAGTTTGAATGTGGAGCTATTTGCTTATACACCACCACGTCATCCAGCTCCTCGATGCCATGGAAGAGCCTTTCCAGAATGTCTGCAATTGAGTGAAATGCTTTGGCGGCACTTGGGATGCCACAACCAAACGTGATCTTCTTTTTTGGAGTTTTCTCCAGGTTGGTGTGATGTGATGTAGGGTTCAGCCCGACCCTCCTGGCAGACTTTATTTCTCCCCATGGTCTATTTATGGAACCTGTCATGGCATTTTATCTTAATCTTCTTATTCGCTGTGTTGATCCTTTCCCTGGCGAATCGATGAAATTCTTCTGAATAAACTCTCTAATCTACCACGTACTGTTCAGGTGGAAAAGGCATGTCTGGCAGTCATTCAAAGACCAGGTTACATGGGTTGCAAACATCACGGCTAAAAGTCATTTGGGATAGAGAAATTCCAGTGCTGTTATTAATTGCACTCCGATAGACCAGAGGAATAAAGGCATTTTGTGGTTCCATATCTGTTGACTCCTGAGTGCAAATTTGAGACGCTGTCCGACAGTACATGTAAAGGAGTGTTTTGGATCTTTTTCACACAAAGAACTATACGCAGCCATGGCAGATGTAAAATTTGTTTTCATTAGAGAAAATGAAAAAAAAAAAAAACTATTTATTTAAATTTGAGAAATCTTATTTTCAGCTAGAATTTCTTCAACGGCATAAGTGTCTTGATCAGGGACTGCATGAGCTTTTGCCCAATTACTAATTTAGACCATAGCAAATAAGATGTTTGTAATTTCTCTCGTCTAAGTGTTTGCGAGCTCCACTTTACGAGCTCCACACGCATCGAAAAATTTGCAGCATGTTAGTTCATCTGCTTTGGCCTTGTCCCAAATAAAATATTCACGAACATTTTGTAGTTTCTTGGTTGCACCAAAATGATCTCCTTGTTGCCTCTCTGCTGTGAAATTCTGCCTATAATCACTCGAGCTGTTGATAAGAACGAGACGCCATCTAAAACGTTTTCTTGACTCTGGACAAAATCTTTTTCTTTACGCTAGAAGAAATCTCTCTATTTACGTGAATACTGTAGAGAATAATATTTTTTAGTTCTTCCATTACAAAACTTTTTCTCCAGCTGTGTTTTCATTTCATTGTTTCCAGCGACAGTGCTGGAGTTACAGTTCCGCTGATTTGCCTTTGGAATAATTTCATACTGTATTTTGCATATATTTCATAATAAGTTCACTTCATATGATGAAAGTTTAATTAGCGGACGAAAAAACTGAATGGTTTGGTTTACTTGATTTCGGCAAAGTACATTAGAGCTATTTTCCTAAAGGAAGGGATTCCTTCTTGTTGGATGTTTTAAGGGAAATTGGCTCGTATACACGTTACACATAAGAAAGCCACGAAAACGCCTATGCAGCCAGGCCATTCGTCTGAGATCGAGCATATATCGGTACTACCAGGGTTCAGCTACATAACTCTCAGATGCTGGTGAACGATGATTGAATGAAGATGACAACTGCTCATAGCAGGATGAGCTGAAGCGTTAATCACTGAAGGCCGAGACTGTACTTTGTTTGCAGATGGAGGCTGTTTGAGAAATTTCTTCTTTAATCTTTGTATTTGGAGCACTAGGTGCGGAATGGTAAAAATGACTAAAAATTGGTAGTTGGTAGTTTGGTCCGGGGTTCAATTATTGGCGAATGGGCTTTAGATACATTGGCATTTTCGTGGTTTTTCTCTATGTTTCATGGGATACGAACCAGTTTCTCTTAGAAAGTCCCCCACAGGGCATCCCTCTTTTTCCTGTGTAGTGCCTAATGGCGGAGCATGTAATAAAATAAAAAACTTTGTACTTCTCATTCGAGTCTCTCGTTAACAACGGAAATTTCTTCAGGAAGGCTAGCAGTTTTTTCATAAACGGTTTTGATTTATGGTCACTTGTTCATCATCTCTGTCTCAAGCTCTTCCTTTAGAGAAGCCACTTTCTTGTACATAGCAATACAAATGTTCCTTTCAATAGCGATAATGCTTTCTTTTATGTCTGCGATAGCGTTAGAAGTAATTCAATATTCCATTTGATGCATTCTTTAATTGAGAGAGTTTCGAAAAGGTAGTTTCTTTCACTTTTCTTGAAGTCGCTTACGTGGAGTTTTCCACTTTCATCTTCATTTCAGCGACATTCACTTCTGGTCTCATCCTTATCACAGAAGCATTTGCTTTGATTGCGCTGATCCACAAGCAGATTCTGTGCAAATACATGGCTTTCATATGACGATCTGAGTTATACTATCTACTGCCTCTTCTGCACTGGCAGGAATTAATTTCGTAACAGCTTTATATTGCTCTTTCGCCTACCTGGATGAAAACATTCAAAGAGATTCGCAATTCTATCACCGAACTGTGGGATCTGCGAGCTACGAGTGCTTAAATATCCCTTCAATAACTACAGCAAAGTCGCCAAATTTTTCCAATGCTTGTCAGCAGAGTTTTTACCTATATCTGAGCTTCTATTGAGCAGTTTCCATAATTTGAACATTGATTAATTCAGAATCACAGGATCTGCACTTCAACACTTCTGTGCAAATACTGTGCTTATATATAATATGTAAGTTACAGTAGGCGCAACCTAATGTAATCATATTTGTCCATTACTATTTTGATAAGATTAACCGAATGATAACAGTAAACAATGAGAAAAACATCCTTTATAATACCAAAGGAGTATAACTGATTTCAATAATGTAACTAGAAATACTTAAATACTTACTTTCACAAAGTTTTAATTAGGGTAAACAGGCATTAATAGTTGATTGTCTGCAAAAGTTTCTCTAAAGTTTATTTAGGAACTCTTCGTATTTATATTTCTGGAAGTTATTTAATTTATGATGTCTTTCTAATCGTATTAATCGTAGTGTATCCTTCATTATCAGTACCTATAGGAGATTCCCTGATTTCATTCCCTTCTCTTACAGAAAATTTATTACATAATGTGCTTGAATTTGTTTCAGAAAGCAGCTGGTAGTTACCTTCCGTCATTGATGCTGCGAGGTTTTTTTCCTATCAGGATCTGACCAAGTACTAAATTTCTCAAAATTGATGTTATTTAATTTAGGCGTGTTTTAATCCATTCTCATAAGTTTGTTATGTATCAATTTCTGTACTTTATATCAACTTTATTTGACTTTAATTCTATAATATTCTTATAACGTTAATCACCATGCTGAACACATTACGCGATATATTCTCCACGTTTTCTTGTAAAAATTGGTGGAATTTCAAAAATTTGATATTAAAGTCCGAATGATAACCTTAAACGCGATTATATTATGCGATGTCTGTCGTGTAAGGTTATTTCTGGAATAATAGATAAAAATAAAGAAATATTAGGAAATTAAATAACTTCTTTTAAATGCGAAACAAGCTTATGGAAATAAACAAATTTATATCGCCATATTAAAGTGTAAAATAAGAAAGGAAATGAAATAAAATAAAGCACAACAAGTAATTTTTTAAAAAATAGATATTTTAAATGTAATGATTGTGATAATATACTATATTACCGTTTAAATTTTTGTCCGAAAAGCTCTGCGAAACATTTCAAATTTCAATCGAACTTTGTTCTTGGTGTATCTTTTTATTGCCTGCGTTATGCAATATATACACCATTTCTTTTCATTTTTAGAATATTTCTTCATAATGAGGCTTTGTTTGACTTATTGATATTAGTTCTGAAAGAATTATTCAGTTCGTAATTACATATAAGGAGTTTTCCCTTCGTCTTACTTGAGCAGCCTGACGTTATAATGTTATATTAATATGTAATGTATACGTAATAATGTTATATTTTATAGCAGAATGTATGGTTTATATGAATACGATTCTAATGTCTACCAGATTATCTAGTAAAACAACACCCACTGCATATGATCATTAAAGAATAACTAGGTTCTGCCTAAAAACAGCTGTAAATTTAAATGAAGTAGAAACTGAAAACAGAATAAAATCACTGACAGTTGAACTGGACAATATTTAACAACTAGCGGCCTGGTTACGAGTCGGTTATGAAAAAACTGTTAGCAACATGACTAGAGGAAGCCGATGTTAAAAATTCTAATAAGAATGATTCCCAGTATTTTAAAAATTGGAGAAGTAATGATCATAGTTAGAAATACTTGTAAATTCTTGAAGCTTTAAAGTTTTCTTCGAATTGAAGCAGGTATTTGACAATCTAATTCACAGTTGATAATCGGGAGATTTAATCCTTGATGAATAGTGCTGTTCTTTAACAATCAAGTTACACTGAAAGAAAAATAGTTCTTTAAATGACAATCCGAAGCGAATATGCATGGCTGGGGTTTACGCTTAAAGCTTTAAAATGATCCATTTTTATTATTTCGCTTGTATTTGTGTTTGCAATCATGATTTTGTTTGTTTGTTTATGTGATTATGGGAAAGTATGAAAGGCTATTTGCCGAAACGGACGGATGGTTTCGTGGAGGACTTTCTAAGGGAAACAGTCTCGTATATACGGTACACATGGCGAAAACCACGAAAACACCCATGCAGCCAGTTCATTCGCGGGATTCTAACCTCGAACCGAACTACCAGTGTTAAGTGACTTTACCGTTCGGCCGTTTGCAATAATGATGTGTGGCAACAGGTCTCGCCAAATGGTGATGTGTGTAGTACAGAAACCGCGGCAAGAATATGCTAATGAAACCTATCATATACTTAACATGTATTTAATTAAACTCAGCCAACGCTAGCATGGCATATCCCAAAAGGCTTTGCAGGGGGTGGAAAGCAAATGCATTAAATCCGCCCACTAATTAAATTTATAGTTTTTACAATACATTGTTTCAGTTTCAAAAATGAAATTAGATTTGTTATTTATATCTAACGAAAGATTCATAAATTAGCAATCGAAAAATAAAGCATAAGCATAATCGAAGCATAATCGAAAAATAAAGCATTTCATAAGATTTTTGTAATGAATTAGTCACGATATGAATTATTTCAAATAAAATACGGTTATCAGTAGAATCTGTTCTAAAGTTAAATTAACCAAAAAGTAGATATATAATAGAACGGAAACTGCATCCAGCTGATCACATACAAATTTTGCTGATTAGTTTATCTGCAGTTTTAATTTATTTATGACGTATTTGTGGGAGTATTTATGTACCAGTTTCATTTTTCCTTGTACTTCCATATTAGCTTTTCCTTGAATATAGTAGAATAAAACTTCGGCAAAGCTTTTATTAGTTGTGGTTACAGTAAAACGACGAAAGTACATTTTTAAATAACAGCCGGATTTCTTTTATCGTTTTGCTATACATACCAGTAACTCTTTCTGTTCCAGACTGCGACTGTGGTAAAGGTTTTGGTTGCATATTTTCTTGGTTCGGGTTAAAAAAGGAATGCCTATGTGGAACGACTCATGGAGATTTTGACGGGACTTGTGTAGGTAAGTCTGCTTTTATTTATTATTTTTGAATATTGAGCAGTATTCAGAAAAATCATGTTTATCTGTTAATTATTTGCTTCAATTGTTTTTATAATTATCGAGGTTATTTGTTTTGAGCTGCTTAGAATCTCCCTGTCAGTTGCCAAGGTCTTAACAACAGAGCTATTTAGCAAGAAGAAGAAATCAATTTCCTCTTTTAGAAATTAGAGTTAAGCTATTCTTAAGTTAAGTTCGATGGAATCTATTGTTCTGAACTAGAACTAGAAAGATGAAATGCTAATAAATAATAAATTAGAGTTAAGCTATCTAAGATTCGTTCGATGGAATCTATTGTTCGAACAGATGAACTAGAAAAGATGAAAGATGCTAATAAATGAAAAATGAGTTAAGATTCTAAACTAAGAAATGGAATCTATTGTTTGACTATTGTTCTGAGAGAACTAGAAAAGATGAAAGATGCTAATAAATGCTAATAAATTAGAGTTAAGCTATTCTTAAGAATTCGTTCGATGGAATCTATTGTTCTGAACAGATGAACTAGAAAAGAGAAAGATGCTAATAAATGCTAATAAATTAAGAAAGTTCGTTCGATGGAATCTATTGTTCTGAACAGAGAACTAGAAAAGATTGAAAAGATAAATAAATGCTAATAAATTAGAGTTAAGCTATTCGAATTCGAGGAATCTATGTTCTGAACAGATGAACTAGAAAAAAATGATGAAGATGCTAATAATGCTAATAAATTAGAGTTAAGCTATTCTTAAGAATTCGTTCGATGGAAATCATGTTCTGAACAGATGAACTAGAAAAGATGAAAGATGAAAAATGCTATAAAAGAGTTAAGCTATCTTAAGAATTCGTTCGATGGAATCTATTGTTCTGAACAGATGAACTAGAAAAGATGAAAGATGCTAATAAATGCTAATAATTAGAGTTAAGCTATTCTTAAGAATTCGTTCGATGATGGAAATCTATTGTTCTGAACAGATGAACTAGAAAAGATGAAAGATGCTAATAAATTAGAGTTAAGCTATTCTTAAGAATTCGTTCGATGGAATCTATTGTTCTGAACAGATGAACTAGAAAAGATGAAAGATGCTAATAAATGCTAATAAATTAGAGTTAAGCTATTCTTAAGAATTCGTTCGATGGAATCTATTGTTCTGAACAGATGAACTAGAAAAGATGAAAGATGCTAATAAATGCTAATAAATTAGAGTTAAGCTATTCTTAAGAATTCGTTCGATGGAATCTATTGTTCTGAAAGATGAACTAGAAAGAGATGAAAGATGCTAATAATGCTAATAAATTAGAGGTTAAGCTATTCTTAAGAATTCGTTCGATGGAATCTATTGTTCTGAACAGATGAACTAGAAAGATGAAAGATGCTAATAAAATGCTAATAAATTAGAGAAAGTATTCTTAAGAATTCGTTCGATGGAATCTATTGTTCTGAACAGATGAACTAGAAAAGATGAAAGATGCTAATAAATGCTATAAATTCGAGTTAAGCTAGTCTAGAATTCGTTCGATGGAATCTATTGTTCTTGAACAGATTAACTAGAAAGATGAAAGATGCTAATAAATGCTAATAATTAGAGTTAAGCTATTCTTAAGAATTCCGTTCGATGGAATCTATTGTTCTGAACAGATGAACTAGAAAAGATGAAAGATTGCTAAGAAATGCTAATAAATTAGAGTTAAGCTCTATTCTAAGAATTCGTTCGATGGAATCTATTGTTCTGAACAGATGAATAGAAAAGATGAAAGATGTAATAAATGTAATAAATTAGAGTTAAGCTATTCTTAAGAATTCGTTCGATGGAATCTATTGTTCTGAACAGATGAACTAGAAAAGATGAAAGATGCTAATAAATGCTAATAAATTAGAGTTAAGCTATTCTTAAGAATTCGTTCGATGGAATCTATTGTTCTGAACAGATGAACTAGAAAAGATGAAAGATGCTAATAAATGCTAATAAATTAGAGTTAAGCTATTCTTAAGAATTCGTTCGATGGAATCTATTGTTCTGAACAGATGAACTAGAAAAGATGAAAGATGCTAATAAATGCTAATAAATTAGAGTTAAGCTATTCTTAAGAATTCGTTCGATGGAATCTATTGTTCTGAACAGATGAACTAGAAAAGATGAAAGATGCTAATAAATGCTAATAAATTAGAGTTAAGCTATTCTTAAGAATTCGTTCGATGGAATCTATTGTTCTGAACAGATGAACTAGAAAAGATGAAAGATGCTAATAAATGGGTGTTTCATAATTTTTCATATTTCAGTATACTTAACAGTCAGCTTTCTTTACCTCGTTGGCTAATCTTTGGAATAGGGTAACAGGTAGTTTGGCGACATTTTGGTAAGGCGATAAAGGTTACTAGCTAGGATTTTAGCAGTGTACATGGATAAAGTCAAGAGTGTGCGCAATGCCACTTTTGTGCAATTCTGGGATGTTTTTTCAAGTGAAAATAGGTCAACGTTTACATAGATACCGTGTATGTGCAATTCTTAAAAACGCGGCAAGCAGTGGCCAATTCTAGCAAGTTGCTGTAGCAGGGTTGGTCGCCAAATTTTCGCCAAAAAATCGCCAAGTTACCATAATCCGAAGATTAACCACCTCGTTTTTTACGAACGCATTCCTTCGAAGGCAGGCATTAATCCTTATTTTTTACGATAATATATCCCCCTTCTAATTACTGTTTGCATCCTCCAGGAAATTCCATCTGTTTTTAAACATTTTTATACTTTTTCCTGAAATATTGTAGCTTCTGTTTTTAATCCAAAGTTTGTCATTATATTTTTCGTTTTGAATCTGGGAATCTAGAATTACTTTATGCTAGAGGAAGTTTTCAACATGATTCATAGACGGTTTCTGAAAAAGTGCGTGTGAAAATTACAGTGTCTTCTTAACACAAAAAGGCATAAATATAGAAAGTTTTAATTTTATCTATTTATTCACTGTCTTCTTAGTTTTATATATGCATTCTCTTAATCAATGCCAAGTTGGATAATTTTTAATTTCCAGATTTTTTTGAAGGAAAAAATTGAATTGCTACTCTAGCTAAGAATCTGAGCATCATAAAAACCCGAATATTGGCATAAATTTTATCAGTATTTAAATTTATTGCTTGTGTTTTGGTTACCAGTTATTTTTACAGTACCTTGCATTGTTTTTATTTATTAATTTATTTATTTATACATTTTATACAGTAATTTTATCATGCATTTTTGCTTAATCAAATTACCTGTCGCTTATTGTGCTTGTAAGCGTTTATTTCGAGCATTATTGAAGTTAGAATTGTAAAAAACAACTCATTTAGAACTAAGCATATGGGCAGACAATATCCTAACATTCCTTGGCGATAACTATTTTAGCCAAATCGGCAGTAATCGGCGATTTCTCAGTGATTTGGCGATATTTTTGAATTTTTCGGCGCATTTTTCAGGCCCTAAAAAATGTTTTTCCTCTACCTTTCGAGAAATAGTTTGACACCCTTGACATTCCAGGGGTAAAAAAGAAAGATAACTTAATTTTTAATTAAGAGTCATGCGATTATAATGAGATGCTGCTCGCTCATACTTGCTTTAGACTTCGCTGAGTGACTTTGATAATCCACGATAATTTTCGCGTGTTAAGAATTTGCTTTTTCTATGTTCTCCTCCTGTGAATTATTTATAGCTGTTTAACGGTTTTTTTTTTATTATTATTGTTGTCGTTTTTACGTGATTATGGCAAAGCCTCAAGATATGTTTGCCTAAGCGGATATATGCTTTCGTGGAGCACATTCTAAGGGACACTGGCTCGTATGCACCTTACACATCGGGAAAACCACAACAAGGCCCATGCAGCCAGCCATTTCGCGGGATTCGACTCTTGAATCCAACTATCGGGGTTCGGCGACTTTACTGCTCGGTCGCTGGTAGGCCTATAGCTGTTTAATAGTACTTTTTTTAATAATGTATCACTTTCTTCTTGTTCATCTGGATCAGTTATTGATAATATCTCCACAGTATCGTAGTACGCAAAAATTTATTTTCGTATTCTCTGCATTAATTAAATGCTGATTTTTCTGCTTTTTTAAATTTTCTCATGTCGTGATGTACAGCCACCGAAGAATGACCTCGTGAGCAATCATGGATAGACTTCATATAAAACATGAGTCGTGAATGCAAACCTTCAGAACTTGTAGAGCTTAGAGTTTCAGCAAGTGTAAAAGCGCAAAAATTTTGTCTAGTTCCACCGAGTTTTAATCAGGATGTTGGGGCGTAATGATGTTGAGCTTGATGAATCTGTCTTTAGCTACGTTATTTACTCGAGAGGACGTTATGTCTATCAGTACGATTTGCAAAAGAGAACAGGATGGTCTCGGATCCAGTCTGATATTACTATATATGATGTTAAGCTTATAACGCACTAATTTATAATCCATTTCCGAATTACTTATATCTTTAGTCATTGGAAAAGATGCATTACATATTTGTTTATTTACAGAGCTTTGTAAGACGAGTCCTTGTAAAAATGGAGGGACATGTGTAGATGATCGTTATTGTAAATGCCCATCCGGATTCAGAGGTTTGAAGTGCGAGTGGGAAGGTAAGAAAACAGATTACAGTTATTCCTTAAATTATCTTTAGCTCTTCTAGTTGCTCAAAAAGATATAAATGTTAAGACATTAACATGATAGAAATTACATCAGATATCAGATTAATTTATAAATTGTTCGAGTTTGTAAAGAAAATTTGCCATTTTGGGGCATAATATTTATGGGTATCAATATATTTAAATATTTTGTAAAGGGTAAAAACTATTAAATAAAGAAGGAGAAGTGTTTAGTTATATTACGTCCATGCTGTAAAAGAAGAGAAAAGCAAAGACCACAAACACATCCCTAAAAGGATTCATACTACTTTTTACTGCTTTCTTGAGTGGATTTAACTAGAGGTTGAGTCGGAAATATGGCAACATTTTTGAAGTAAATGTAACTGTCTGTATATAATGTGGGGAGAAATGAGTATTAGTGTATTAACTTTGAAAGTTCATTTTTTTTCATTTCAAATATGAATCATATACCCGAACTTATTTATATAATTTATCAAGATGATACTTTGGGAAGGCAACAGCAAATTACAGTTGTACCAAGAATGATTTTATGGCACACTAGTCATGAGCTGTGATACTGGAAAATCATGATATTAATGTAGCAGCATTTTCCTCAGGGATTGGTTATTACCAAAAAAAATAATAATAACTACTTGCAATGGTAATCATTCAAAAAAGCAAACCTCGATAAAGCATTCACAGCAGCACCAATGAATTTTGTAAATTTGTAATATGTGGACCCAGGCAATTTCCACAGTGTGGAGGCTCGTCCTTAGCTTATCCACAAAAGGGAGATTCTTGGCCATCGCCATAATTCACAAATTTGGGCTTGTAGTTGTATCTCGCCTGCGAATGATGAAACGGCTGACATCTGAAGAATTGAGTTGGGTCCCGTCAGCAGATATATATTCCACGCTCATTTCAAGACACATAACGTAACTCAGATGATAAATGCCTTGCAAAGTCTGTTTTCTGAAGCGTTATGAGAAACAATGGGAATTTAGTGCATTCAGGGCGCCTACCTCTGGTGAATTGACTGTGATGACTTCGCCAGAGGATTTTCTAAGGAAAACTGGCTCGTATAGACGTTACACAAGGGGAAAACCAGGAAAACGCCCATGCAGCTAACCCGTTCGCCAAGATTCGAACCTCGGACAAACTGCAGTGAGAGTTCGGCCGCTGGTAGGCTGAGATTCAGAACAGTGAATCCACGCTGATTATCACCAATTAGCGTACAGAAAGGTAAGCTCCTTATCATAACTTTTAATTTCTGTTTCCCGAGAATAACTAGTAATGATGCGATATCCTCGTTTTTTCTTCTAAAATATCCGCTTTCCGTTACCATTGAAGAATTTGATTTAAATCTGAAAGTGAGACTTCATTTTAGCTTTGTACTATTCGAGATTGAATCCTTGAGAAGATCTGTAAGGTGTTTCTATTTGAATATTGAATCTTTGTTAATGGTGGAAGGCATCTTTGAATTTCGTCTGGGATAACCAAAGTCTCCTTCATTTCTCAGAAGTCACTTGACTTTGATTAGCTGAGCAAAGAAGTTATCCGGGTATTTCGCTGGTGACTGGCTGCTGCTGTTCACTTGGTTCTGGCAATTATGAGTTTTATCACATGGAGGTGGAGTCTTCCCGGAGTCGCTGGCTGCAGGAAAATCCTTTGTCTGTTTCTTAGTTTCAGGTGCAGCTGTTTTCTTCTTTTCCCTGATTTTGTTAAGCGAAATTTTGCTGGGAGTCTGAAATTGGGAGTCTGAAATTGCTGGGAGTCTACTTGGAAAGGGAATTACAGAGCGTTGTCCTCATAGTGTTCTTCCAGACTGGAGTATTTATTGTACGTTTCGGTATCAAGGCTCTGAGGTCTCTTGCCATGTGAAACACTGGCAACGACATTCAAATCTATGTCAGTGGCGTTTGAAATCTGCTGAGCGGCAACACTGCAACGTTGGGAACTGCACTGAAGGCTGGATTCCTCCGAAAAAGCAAATCTCTCGGTTCTCAGTTCAGTTCTAAGTCTGTGAGAGCTGCTCACAGGCATAAAGCTTGCCAAGGGTTTGAAGTCCGTTGATTTCAAATTGAATTTGCTGTAGTATTATAATCAAAGCTGTATCCATAATGTCAGAATTTAAAAAATGAGAATAAGTACGAAAGGTGTAGATAGTTCGAAATATCAGAGAGCAGTGGTTTTCGAATCTACAAGCACAGCGTCCCGGAATCTCCCGTAGAGGGTGATTTTGCTCTTATTTTAGATTAAGATTGTCCAAAATTTTACAAGCCCACCAGCGGCCGAGCGGTAAAGTCGCTGAACACTGGTAGTTCGGTCCGAGGTTCGAATCCCGCGAACGGGCTGGCTGCATGGGTGTTTTCTGGTTTTCCCCATGTGTAACGTGTATACGAGCCAGTTTCCCTTAGAAAGTCCTCCACGAAAGGCATCCCTCCTCTTAGGCAGATAGCCCTAGTGTGCTTTGCCATAATTAAATACACCACACCAAAATTTTACAAAGCTCGGAAAAATACTTAAGAAGTGTGGAATATATACGGCATCATAGTTTTAGAAAGAAATTATTGCTTGTTTTGCTAAAAGTTATGTCATTTTTCGGATATGAGTTTTCGGAAATTCATCATCTTTCATTCGATTTCGAAATATTAATACTGAGCACACTTAATTTCTGCTCTAAAGGTTCTACACTCTTCTGGAAAGCTCTATGCACTTAAAAAGAATAAATGAACCTGGCACCACCTAACGATTTTTATAAGAATTGATACTGAGAACACAACAACGGCAAGGGAAAGCTAAGATGAGTGACGTGTACCCAAGATGGGAGTCGTTAGCGCAATGTTTAAATGCCTTGAGTGTAGACCTTCTGGAATGGGTTTTTCGCAATTTTAAGTAAACAGAAACCTTCATCTTTTTAAAGGTCAAGAGGGCAAATAAAAATGTAAATTTCGATGAATTACAAACAGACGGACACTCTTCGTTATATCTATATATGATTTTAATGAATCCAGCTATTGTTACTTTTCCAGTTTCAGCAAGTAATTAATAATTAACTGAAAAGAATCTGCGTTTCTTACTTTTGAATAACCTACTTTGTGTATTAGTAACAGAATAAATTTGAAAGAAAAATTAAATATCTTACTTTTTATCAAAGATGTTCGGAATCACTGGTAATTTTCATAAATTTGTTGTATTGGTTTAAGGGTTTGACTAGAAAGCCTTATTTTCCAGTTACTGTTTTCATTCCTGCAGCTTAATAAGGTTCTTTAGTGAAACCTTTGAAACTAATATGGCAAGTTTACGGAAATTACTGCTGATTCGTGTTACTGAAAGCTCTAATAATTATTATTCGACATGTTATTTTTGGTTTAATCTTACACTTTGCTGAGAAAATACTGCCGCATGGAAAATAAAGATATTTTAGCAATAGATTTCTTTTAAATCACTGAAAGTCAAATAGATATATTGTATTTTCCGAGTGGCAATGCACTTCTTTAATATCTTCGCGTTTTCAGATTAAATCTGAAACAAATATCTTACTTGCTGCAGAGTAGCAAAGTTTTTAAATCGCTGAGTTTTTATCAACAGTACATTAAATTTACACAGATTCTATATATGCGTAGAGTGTGGACTCAATGGAGTGGCGTATGACCTTTCTCTTATGTTGAAAGTCAAGTGTGCAAAATTTCAATCAGGATCGGAATAAAATTGTAGATTTATATGAATATAAGACTTACCGTTGTCTTTTGTAACGAGAGAACTGAAAAAAAAAGTATTGATTTGATTACGTGTATCTTTTGTTTCTTTGTGGAAACATGAAATAATGATGTCGGTTGATATAGTTTTCGTTTGCGTTTCATAAATAAATTTGTAAGAACTTAATATCTAAAATCTTCTATTATTTAAGACTTTACTAACTCTCCATGCGGTGTAGACGGTAGGATTTCGTTTGTCGTATGCCACAAGATCAAGTCTTCGACACTGGGCACTCACTGCAAAATTCTGCCTATATCTTTTAGGCCCTAAGTTTCAGTTTATCACAGGCAACTACACAGCCGCATATGTTGTCGCGAAATCCGCAATTAATGGCAAATTCGAGCGGCGTTTGGTAGATTTAGCTAAATTTGACTTGCATCGACAACTATGCATCGACTTGACAAGCAAAATCTTATTGCTGATCATCTTTTTCGTTTTCCAACACCACTGGATCGTTTAATGGTTACTAAGAACTATGAATAAAAAATTTGTGCAAAATAGAAGTGGGATGGCTTTCGTCAATGCATTTTTAGTTTGATTAAAGACAAAATCCATAATAAGAAGGCAGTGTTAGTCAAACGCAATTACAATATAGATAACAATACCTACAATGAATCAGTATCTGTAGTAGTGATTCCAAAGGCAATGCGAGAACAAACTTTGATAGCATGTCATGATGATATCGGACATTATGGACACCAAAAATTCCCTTCACAATTTACAGCAATGCTATAGGTGGCCAAATATGTGAAAGGACTGTAAACTACATGTCGGAAGTTGTCACAAATGTCAAATTGTCAAAAACCGAACTGCTAATGCTATGGCTTATTGCACCAACTGCCAATTCAAACAACACCGTGGGAAATTGATCCACTGATCATCTGGTAAACCCTGGATCCACTGGCAAACACTAACATACTTGTCCGGATTGACTATGCCACACGCTATGTGGCTGTATCGCCTTCTTCAACTCTTGTCGCATATACATTGACTAATGCCCTGTATCACAACATCATTATCGCTTCAAACTAAAATTTATTCTGGCTGTCTAAATTTCATTTTGAGAGGGGCCGGATGTAAGGCTCACGTCTTTGTTTTATATTGTGAGAATTGAATGAATGTGTGTGTGTGTGTGAGTATGGCAAAGCCTCGAGGGCTATCTGCCTAAGAGGAGGGATGCCTTTGTGGAGGACTTTCTAAGGGAAACTGGCTCGTATACACGTTACACATGGGGA